CAGCCCCCCCTCCCCCCCCTGCGAGCGCTATTGTGGGCTAAGCCCACTTGAAGCCCTAACGGAAGCCCGGGGTCTGCGCGCGCGGCACGGAAACACACATGGGAAACAAATGAGGCACGACACGCGGGCGCGGCACCGCAGAGCAGAACGGGGCAGAGCTGCTCCAACAACTGCGGGGCGGCGGCCGCGGGCTGACCCGGGGTGACCTCGACCTCTCCGCCGACACCTACGCATGCCCGCCCGTGTCTCCTTGCCCTGGCGTCGCCGTCTCGAAGATGATTATACTACGACTGTAGACGCTCCCATTATCGAGAATGATCACCGCGAAGCTCGGAGCTTTCTATTTTTTTTTGTGCAGATGATAACACTGAACGAGAAGAATACAAGTCATTATACAAATAACATTTAATGTGTCAGGTACCTTGTACTTTTAGAGAGCGACGCAAAACGCGGTGTTGGCTCGACTTTCGCGCTTGCCCTTGACCTGACTTGACTCCGTGAGGCCAATGTACGAGGACAGTCACCGGGTTTCACTGTAAGTAAGTTATCTCGAGAACGCAACCAATTTGTTTTACAACGACAGTAATCTGGCATTGTAAAAAAAAATAAGATTGTTTTTTGAGGTGCGCGATACGGCAAGTGGCAGTGGTGGGCGAGGAAGGCAGCCTGGGAGGTAGACCGCTCGCGCGCAGGGCTACGAGGCGGGCTGCCTACCTCCCGGCTGGCAGGCGCTCAGGCGCTCGACCCACCCCTTGCGAGTCGTACAGTGCAGAGCGGCGGAAGGCTCCTCTCGCCCCCCGCGGCTCTAGTGAGCCAGGCGCTTCGCCAGCGGCGGCACGGGGAGCCTTGTGGGTTTAGCAAAGTCAGATTCGCCTTAAATAATGTCCTAGCCGACCCGGGCCGGGGCTAGTGGAAAAACAGCCCAGGGAACAAGTTCGGAAACTCGCCGTCCGCCGTTCTTCGACGTAGTTCCAGTTCGCTGCCGCTGGGGCGAGGGGTTGGGGAGGATAGAAGTAAGGGGTGAGGGGGGCATCCAGCCAACGGCGAGGACTATAGGAAGACGACGACGTTAGTCCGGGGCATGATCAGCCCTGGCTGGGACCGACTGATTCTCGAGCCGATTCTCCCCTTAAGGACGTCCCGTCTCGTCCCCGGCCTAATCCACTGGCACACCGCAGCGCATCACGACCAACCCTCAGCCCGTCTTTGATCTGCTGCAGGAAGGGGTGTGATGGGGCGTGTAGCGGGGGAGGGGTGGGGACTCAAAGGCATCAGGCGGGCCCAACCCGCCCCGCCCCGCGCTCCTAAGATCGCCGTGCAGTGGGCTGCCGACGGCCAGACGCCGCCGCTCCTCTGCAACGCTTCGCCTCCAGTCGAACGTGATGCTGAACCCTTCCGCTCCGCATTCATCCACCCCCCTCTCCGGCTCCGGTGGTGCGATCGCCGCGCTGTCGATTCGGAAGGCGCCAGCGAGCGCGGCGCGGCGCTTTGCGGAGCGGAGTGGCAGCACAGCAGAGGCGCCGCCGCCGGGAGCAGCCGGAGGCCGCGAGACAGAGAGAGTGAGAGACGGCGAGATGGGGCGGCTGAGAGAGAGAGGAAGATAGAGAAAGAGAAGAGAGGCGAGCCACTTTACGCCGCTATTACAACTTCGTGCACGAGTCCTATACTCTCCGCGCTCGCTTCTCCGCAAGTGAGTCGTCTCGGCTCTTTCTGCTCTTCGCTTGGCAGCCGGAAGATACATCTTCTTATTCTCCTCCCGCGCCGCCGCCGCGACCCTCGCCATTCCCCGTCGCTCACACAGCCCCGCACGTGTCGCACGAGTTGGAGTGGAGGAGGAGAGGGAGGGAGGGGAGGGGATGCAAAGGGGGGCCTCATGTCGTGCGGTCGCAACGCGTGAGAAACACAAACTGGCACGCAGTTAACCGACCTCCTCCAAGCTCCTCCTACACACGGAAGTCTAAGGCCAGGGTTGGGGTCGGGGCGCACGGCACCTCGCACGGGGAGTGTGGATGTGGAGCATCTGAGGGCAGAGAGAGAGAGAGAGAGAGGAGGGGGGGGGGGCAGTCGAATTTTTCAGTAAATACTCTTTCTGCTTTTCGGTTCTCCCTGCTCCCCGGCCCGCTTTGAATTGTTTGCTCCCCTTATTGCGCCTTTCCTTTGTATAATCACGAAAGAAACTGATCTGCGCCGCGTGTTCATCATTTCCAGAGAGGCGCGGAGGCTGTCATTACTGTAAAATCCAGCGCGTTTCCCCAGTGAAAGCTCTCTTGAAAAACCACCCCACTGCGCACGCATTCGACAGGCTCCGCACAGGGGAGAGGGATAAAAGGGGGAAGAGGGTGGGATGCGGGAAGCAGATGGGGAAGGGGGAGAGATGGGGTCACGCGTGCTCAGTCGCCCCCTGAGGCTTGGGTGGCGCTGACGACAAAACAAAACATTAAGTTTTTCTAAGCCGTGTTGCTGCTGCCCGCCCCGCGCGTATGGATTGAGCCACCGCGCGAAAGGAGAGCAAAAAGCACGAGATGACCCCATACAACAGGTGGCGACGAGGACGATACTGGGTGCACCCTCGGTCCAGCCGGGGCGGGGCACCAGCGCGACGTCACGTGACGATGGCATCAGGGCCCGCCGGGCTAAATGCAGAGTGCCCGAGCCGGGGCCAGAGCTATTTCACGTGTCACACCCTACAATAATCGCCGCTGCGAGGTGGAGCGGTGCGGTGCGTGGCGGGGTGCGGTGCGGCGGGGAGGGCTATTCCCGTGAAAGGGAAGGCCGTCCCAATCCGCTTCCCCCCGGCCACTCCCCTCAGCACGCCACAGCATAAGCCCCCGATGGGGACGGGCGCGGACCCGCGCCACACTCCACCCCGCCCCGCCCCACAGCGGTGCTCACCCCTCGACCTGGACAGGAACTGCCGGCCAGCAGGTTCGCGGGTAGGAAAGGAGGAGGAAGTGAATCGCCTTATGGGAAGGGTTGCTGAAGTGGAACACTTCAGTTTCGTGGAACTTACCACAAACTTCCACATAAACAAATTTTTCGCACCTTCAAGTAGCTCAAAACGCCCGAAAAGTAGCCTGACTTGCTGATGCCGAGGTGCCAAGATCCCTCCCGGGAAAATTTTTTCTAAAGAACCGGACGAAAACCAATTTAGACCGCCTAGGCCTAAAAGGAGGAGCACCGCCGCCGCACCCCACCCGACCGACCCCGCCCCGCCCGACCGTTCAGCCACGAAGGCCAGCGGCGGGGTAGGGCCATTAATGAGCCCGTGAAGGCTAGGGCCCCACCCGTCCCGCCAGCCCCGCTCGGGCTGAGGGCGCTGCAGCCCAGCCTGATCTTTCCCTCTTCGGCCCGAAGAGCCAATAAAATTTGCCAAGCGCGGAAAGGGGGACGGCGTGGCGGGGCGTGGTACCGTCACGGTGGCGGAGCGTGCCAGGCAGTGCCGGGGCGGGGCGGCGGGACATACGGGCGGACTTCGGTCTCACCCCGCCGCCGCGCCGACGCTTTGATCTCCATTTTTAAGGGCGCTGCTGCCGCGGTGGTGAGGGGGTCTGCGATTAAGTTGTGCGCAAGTGGGGGGAGGAGGAGGACGAGGAGGACGAGGAGGACGAGGAGGAGGAGGACGAGGAGGAAGACGAGGAGGAAGACGAGGAGGAAGACGAGGAGAACGAGGAGAACGAGGAGGAGGAGGAGGACGACGAGGAGGACGACGACGAGTCACGACGAGGAGGAGGACGAGAAGAAGGACGAGGCGGACAAGGTGGAGGACAAGGTGGAGAACGAGGAGGACCAAGGAGAAGAGGAGGAGGAGGACCTCTACATTACTTGGATTTCTGACCAGGTTTAACTATGTTTTATGACATTTTCATATTTTTAGGAAAAACAATACCTAAGTGGCCTAGCTCTCTGCAAAATCTGGGCAGTGTGGCTCAAAGGGTTCCGGAGATATCGGCACTTGAAGGTTACCACGAAGGTCATGGTTTTGCTCCTTTTATGGGCTTTTCTCACTGAAAAGAGTCAAAAGTGACTGAATAACCGAGTATGGGGAGCTAAAACTAGTGTCAATAATAGTCCTTCTGGGCAACTGACCATGGCGTGCAGCTGCGACGTACCTTGCAGTGGCCATGGCAGACACATCACTTATTTAAATTAGTTTTGCAGTTTAAACGGAAAGACTTCAAGATGGGCAGTTTCAACGATAAAACTTTTAGTTCATTTGCAGTTAAATCTGTGATCTTGTCATAAAGTAAGATTTGCAGAGTATGCAGCCCCTTCCGTTCGCCGGCACCCGGTATAGTAAAGGAGAGAGACCGGGCCAATATGGGCCACCCTGTTCGGCCTCGGCCACCCTCCGGCCATTCTACACTACCACAGATCTGTGGGAGGCCCAGTACTGCGCCGCATGCTAGTGTGAATTGGTCCGGCCTTCCGGGCTACTCATTCGGCGCCATAATGCGTCATAGTTTACTACAGTAAAAATCTAACCCGTCCGAAAGCCTTCAGGCAGCATGCTGTTCAGTATATCTACAAGTACATCCATAAGGCCGCACGAGGCAACATGTCAAGTAGGAGAGCCGGTGGCCGAGCCAGGCTCTCCGGCCCCATAGCGGGGAGCCTGTCGGGATCAGCCTTGTTATTCACCAGGCGGCTGCAGATGCGACACAGGGGCGGGGCGTGACGTAGTGGAGCGGAGGGGTGCCTTCGGACGAGCTATATAATCCCATTACACAGCTGGGCTGACACTGACGCAGGGAAGGACCAGACCGCCACGGAGGGAGCAAACACAAACATAACGGCGACAAACGGAATACATCATGTTTTACTGTAGACAAAACTGGATGCCACCATTTGAGCATTTGATTTGTGTACAATAATACGCGTTCTGCTAACATGATATACCTCTGCTCTGCCGCCGATTCGGAGGAACTGCCGAGAACTGTAAACGTGAGCTGCCCTAGAGTTTAGCTTCGTTTTGTCCTGTCGGGCTGCCAATAGCTTCCCCGAAGGTCCGGATCTGAGGCGAGCCGAGGCGGGGGTCGGGGTATCCCACATTTATCGACAGTAGCGGGGAGGTTTTTTTTTTTATCTTTTGTTATTAGAAGGAAACAAGCAGACTGCGTTCGGTCGGAGAGGACTGCCCCCAGCGCAACGACAGATATTGAATACGAAATTGTAGTCGCTCTCCCCGCCCACCGCTTCGCCGAGCACCCCCCCCCCCCCCCGGTCGCGCGTCTCTTCAAGGACGATGGAGAAACACAAGCAGATGATATAGCATCGTCGTCGAGCAGGTTTACTCATATTGCATTCGCATACGTCACCCGGCATTGGGGCTCTCATAACACGCCGCCGCCCCCGCGAGCGGCGCGGCGCCGGGGCACATCGGCAGAACGAGGGTGGCGCGAGCGCCAGGGGGAGAAACAACGATATTGGACGCAACACTGTTGACGAGGGGTGCTCGCTCAGTCGGAGGCATACCACTCGAAACGATACAGTCAGCCTTTTAGGTAAGCAGTTACTACTGCAGTAATATACGCCTTAGCGGGCTGTTCATTTTCATTTAAGGATATTATTATCTTGTCTTGCTGCAAGCAGCAAACGTCTCTGTTCTTTAGTTTTAAGATACCACACTCGGATAGCGAAACGACTCTTACCGGGTGCCACCCGGTCGTACGTAGTATCTCATAAGCTATGCGCGGAAACGTTAGAGCAGACGGATGCTGCTCCCTATCCACAAAAGAGTGCGAATTAGGGGCGCGTGGGCGATGTGGAGGAGCCGGCAGGGGCGCAAGTGAGTGGGGGCGACGCGCGCGCAGGGGGGCGCGTGGGCTCCGGGCCCGGACCTGGGCACGAGCACTCTGCGCGCGTCCGCCTTGATCTTGCTCAAACACCACGGGGGACACCACGGGGGACAGCACGCGCGGGTGCCTTGTGCCCCTCCCCCTCCCCCTCCGAGCTAGAGAGCCCCGCGCACCCGGCCCATCGCCTCACCCGCGCGCCAGCCAGGCCGTGTAGTGCTAAGAGTGAGGACGCTCCCAGGCTTTTCATACAACGCCAGGACCACCACGCTACCAGCCACCACCATCAGGCCTCCAACGTAGCTGCTGACCCTTTTACGCCCGACGTAGGCGGGGCGAGGCTGGTCCCTCCCCTGATGAGAAAGGACCATAGCCCCCACAACACCAACACACACACACACACACACACACACACACGTCGCACAAAGCATATGTGCCAGCCTTGATGAAGTTGTCGTTCATACAGCCTCTCACAGACACTGCCACATGATTGGACGTTCCCTGCCTGCTGGGCCTGGTGCGCGGCTTTTGCTTACCGATTCGATGTAGATGAGGTAGACGACGTGCGCCACGTCCACGATGGACGCCATGACCACGACGGCGATCCAGGGCACCAGAAGCTGCTTCATGTCCTGGAAAGGGCGCCACAGGCATCAGTTGAGAACAAAAACGAAGAGGGGAACGGCAAAACAAAAAAGCTAACGCAAATACTTTCCGCATCCCGCTCTACATAAGGGTAGAGAACATTTTTTAAAAAATCCCATGTTTCTTTGATTTGTTATTTTTAGCTTTACTGTAGCGCGTGCCTATCAACACACAATCAACACGGCAAAACTCAGAAAAGCACAAAAAAAAACAAAAAAAAACAAAACAAAACAAAACAAGGGACCCTGTGTATAAAGTATGGAAAGACAAATGAAGAATCACGACTCACCCTGTACACACCGTACACGAGCAGAGCGGAGGACACGAGCCCCAGCACGGAGCAGACCGTCACCATCACGTTGAACACCATGGTACCTGCGGGCGAACCAAGCATGCCTGTTTACATTCCTGTGACGTGACGGGGCTGCCAGGCTGCCACGCGCAGCGACAGGGCCAATGATTAAAGAAAAGCACACGGAGAAAAATACTTTGGTGGCTGTAACGAAAATAGTGTTCAGTCTGCCCCCCGAGTCATAGCCATCGAACGTTCTATCGTGCTTGGGCTGAGCGTTTAGACGCTCCAACCAAAACACTCAGCCAGCACGATAGAACACTCTAGGATTATGACTTGGGGGGGTCTGACTGAATACCATTTAGTTAAGAAACCAAATTTTTCGACCTGGTGACCAATCATTTTTCTCAGTGTAGGGTTGCCGGGGTGCTTTCACCGGTCTAACTAACAACGTTTACTTTTTCCCCACTTTAATTTTGTGGTGCAGGAGTGGGCTGAGGGTACGAGGAGGTAGATGGAGGCGGCTGCAGACGGCGGTGGCGAGTAAGGAAATAGATGAACACGTTGATATTTTCAGCCTCGGTGTGCAATAAGAAGAGGCTGGTTTGTAAAACAAAATAATTTGTTTGCTCTACAAGCTTTCAAAACTTTTTTACGTTACAATAATAGAGCAGTTGTTTAAGAAACATTACAGTGGACGGGGCGGGGGGCGGGGCCGCGGCGGGATGGCGCTGAAGCCGTCTGAGGAGAGGCCTCCTTGGATCCAAGGAGGCAGATTAGTGAGGGGCGGTTGGTTGGAGAGCGCGGGTGGAGCATGACGCGGCAGCAAGAAAAATAAGAGACGGTCCAAATGGTGTGACGCGCGCGGCGATGTGCGCCGACACAGAGCAAGTCCGACGGAGCAAGAGAGGGACACCAAGGCGAGGGAAGAACTGAACCTTGAAGAGCGCGCGGGGCCGCGGGGGTGAAGTTGGCCATCTCGGGAGGAAAAGGCCAAGCAAGCGGCGAGCGTCCGCGCTGTCTGTGGAGCGCAAGCCGACCGGAAGTACACTCTGCTCCCGCACCCGGGCGAAAACGACTACCTCAACTTCTACCGTGACGGTGGCGGTGGGCAGAGAGGCAAGGTGGGGGAGGGGGGGGGGTGAGGACAGCGGTGACAGTGAACCCCCCACCGCTACCCCACCCCCTCACTCATCAGGCGCCGCGGCAGTACGAGCGGAATAGGCTGCAGGGCGACGCGCCGCCGGTCTGGAGACTGACGGGAATGGCCCTAAATTAACAAAAGCGTGCGTCCGTAATGGCCTCGCGCCGACCCGCAAGCGCCTTGCTCTCTCTCCCTCTCCCCCCCCCCTCTCTCTCTCTCTCTAGCTCGCTCTCTCTGCGGCCCTTACACGCGCGCCCTTATCGTCGTCATCACCGTACCTTTCGCAATTATTCGCACAGCGGTAGAGCAGAGCTTTTGTTGCCGACGTGGCGTGGCGGGGCGGGGCGTGGTGGGGCGTGGCGGGGCGTGATGGGGCGTGGCAGGGCAGGAGCACAAGGTCCTCACGATGATGTGGCTCTCCAGGGACAGCCAGAGAACCGCCACCAACAATTACAATCATCTTTTCCTCCGAGTTTTATCCTCGGACACGCCAGCACAGAGCCGGGCGGTGCTGTTGTTGTGGACCGTCCTACAAGTCCTAAACACCCACCAAACACTTCCCTCGGTAAGGATAGTCCTCCATGAAGAATTGGGTTATCTACAACTTAGGCTTTGAACACCTTACCTGCCGATTACACGCCGATAAATAAAGTGTTCAACTGGCGTGCACATGCAAGTGCACAACACTATGCTGCACACTATTAAGCACTTTTAAAGAGTTTGATTGTATATTTGAATACTACTACTAAGTGTTTGACAGTAAAGTTGAACACTTAGAAGTGTTCAGCACGGTTCAACACCAGGGTTGGCCACGAATTTGGATACTTCAAAGTGTTCAAAGGTACTGCTGAACACTTTTAAGCGCTTTGAAGTATTCAAATATCTAGCCAAACGCTTAAAAGTGTGCGACATTGGTCGTAGTTTTTTTCCGTGATGGAATGAGGTGGTGGTAGGAAGGGTGGTGGTGGAGTTAACTTCAAGCTGAGGTCGCCTAGCTGATATGCCGCACGCCTCTGGGGTAGAGGCGAGAGAAGGGCAGTAGACCGGCAACCGCTAGGATTGGGGGCCGGGGACCGTGATCAAGAATTCCTTCTTCTCTCCCCAAGAATTTTGTTTCATTCATTTCCAAAGAGCGGGATGGGGGCCGGGCCCGGAGCCCACTCTGCGCTTTGGTATAATTAATTGGACCATGCCGGCTGCTGTGTCGACGCGCTGTGGGGTGGCTGCTTGGTGGTGGGGCCCTGGGCCCAGGGCCCGGAGGGTTACTCACTCGTGGTGATGGTCTCCGTTTCCAGGACGGGCTCGTAGGGCTCGGTGTTGTTGCCTTCCTGGCCCGCGAGGTACTGCCGCTCCTCGTGCAGGAAGACGGCCATGATGAGCAGCGTGAGTGCGAAGTAGGCCTGCAAGCAGGGATACGAAACGGAGAGTCAGCAGGGTGCGTATGCGTGCGGTGCTGGTAAAGAAGGTGCCACCGCTCGGTCACCGCTGTCCGTAAAAAACAAAAAACAAAAAACGTTTAGCATCAAATTAGAATATTGGATCGCCCAGCTAATTATTAGCTACAATTAAGAGCTAAAAAAAGCCATCATAGCAATTTTAGCCAACTCTTTCTTTTTTTTCCCCCGTATGTGACCCAGAACCCTCTACCACCAGGCCCCGGGTGCTTTGTGTGAGGATGTACCGATCCCAGAGGTGCCATGCCTCGCCATTAGGTTTGGCCGCACGTGCGCGCAGGTCGTGGCGCACGGGGACAGCCGGCCGGCCGCCGCCGAGCCGCCGCCGCCGCCGCCGCCCCAGCCGAGGAAAGGCGGCCAAGGTCGAGAGGAGCCATAGCCTGAACTCCGAGCCCACAGCACGGTCCGGAAGCAGTAGGCGAGGCGGGACATGCCTGCTGAATGCGTCGGCGGAAAAGACGCAACCGCTTTTCTGAACGATTTGAAAATAATGGCTATACTTTGTTTCAAGGAAATTCCATTAAAAACATTATGCTATCAAATATCAAAATAGAGTTTTCATTGGCAATAATGCCCGTTTTTCAGTCTTCTTCCGTAAATCTATGAAATTTTTCTATAAAATTTCCTTTGAAACGATTTTTCAATGGAACTTTCTCGAATCGAAGAGACCATTGTCTGAGTGATCACCACCTGTCAGCCGATACCTGGCGCTGTCATAGAACACCATCTGCTATAGGAGCTTGCCGATTGCCCCTCCTCCTCCATCCCGACCCGAGCTCGCCAGTAGTATTCTTGTCGCGTCTTCCACTACCGCTCCCCACGTGCTGACTGTTTTCGTTAGGAGAGCACACACAAGGGAGCCAAAGCTGCCCCCCAAACAGGATGACGCCACGACAGGTTGGACGCCCAGGCGCACACGGGTGCTCGACGCTCGCTGTTGTTCGTCCAAACTCTCTCGCGCCGCTCCACGCCGAGGTGCCATACGCCACCCCTTCGCTACTTCCGCGCTTTTTATTAATTCCCCCCAACTTTATTCGCTCCCTGCCTGGGCTGTGGCGGTGGGCCGGGCCGGCCGGCCGCTAGCTTCTGTTTTGACAGCCATTAAATCTCAAAGCGTAGTCTCCGCCCGCCGTGCGCTGCTTGTGCCCAGGACGCGGGCCCCACAGAGCACACTGAAAGGCTGTAGCGCCCAGTCCGCGCAATGAGTTCCCTTCATACGTGTGCCGCGCCTGTGCAGGGCGCCCGTCGACCCAGGACCGGCCCGGCCCGGCTGGGCGGTAAGCTGCCTTTTCTCGCTGAGAGAGATTGGGGAGCGGGTGAAAGGACGCAACAAGGGCCCGGCCGCCAGAGGAGGCGGCAGGGAGGCGCGCGGAGAGGGACGGGGCGGCGGGTGTGTGCGATAACAGCAACAAAGTCCTTTTCAGCTCAGCACGGCCGCAACGGCCACGCTATCGCACCGCGAGGCTCGCCGCGCGCACGGGAGCGCAGCAGCAAGCAGTCCGTCTTAATCGCGTGCGGCAGCAGGGCACATGACACACGCGCTATTTGCTTTTATCTCAAAGTGAGATGTAGTATGAGTGAGTTAAACACCCGCGCGCGACAAAGTCACACGTATAGGTGTGCGGATGCTTCCGCGAATGTGAGTGAGTGTGCTTTTTACACCCCAGGGGGGTGATAGGGTCTGTTCACCCCTCCCCCTTTATCTTTGTCCTGGGTCCCGAGGGGCAGCGGCAGAGTCGGCAGAGTCCAAGGAAAGGCGCCGCCGTGCTGCTACTACTACCTCAGGCTCATCCACGTCGTGCGCGGGCGGGTCGCGGGCACCACCAACTCCCCCCGGGGGCGCGCGCCGCCCCGCCCTGAGGACGCCGCCGGCCAGGGCGTGTTACGACACGGCCAAGTGCTATTTAGGGCGGAAGCCCGATCCGATTCCGCCATTCCGATACGGGCGGAAGTGGGGGAGGAGGGGAGGAGAGGAGGAGGGGGAGGAGGTAATCCGAGCGCCCACGAGCCGCGGGCCGCTCCCTCCCCTACCCCCTCCTCCCTCTCCCCCTCCCGCTCCAGCTGCGAGACGCAATACAGGGCATTCCGGCCACGTCCGTTGTACCGGGCGCAGGGGCGCAGAGGGCCTAGTTACCTTGCTTCTGTGAGCAGCGCTGAGCGGGGATGGCGCCTGGCGCCCCCAAGTTTAACCCTCAGAGCCGTATCACAATAGGCAGGCGGGGCCTGTCCGCCGCGGGGTCCGCGGGGTGGCGGGCGGCGGGCGGGACGGGTGGCGGCGAGGAACGCCCAAGGGCAAATTATGGAGCCGTTAAAGTGCTTTCGCGTGCGCGCGCTGCTGCTGCTCGGCAGGTTCGCTCTCCACTCCGCCGCCGCCGCGCTTCCGAAGTGTTGTTCTCGCCTCGGGTAGCAGAGCAAGTAGTCTTGGAGGGAGGAGAGCGCATCGCCACCTGTGGGTCGCCTGGAGGCGGACAGCTCTGAGGCGGATCAAGGGGCGGCACGGGGAGGAGAGCGACAACATCCTGGGGTGGGGAACACGAGGCGGAGGTGGGGGACGTGTGGGAGAGCGTGAGTGTGAGCTGGAGGAGACACGGGAGACGAGACGACAAAGTCCTTTGGGGGAGAAGCGAGCCTGACCCGGGCGCGTGGTGACGCCGACCGTGTATTCCCACCCCATTTCCCAACACTAGAAACCACCACTGTCGTTCTCGTGTCTCGCAGGGCGACAGGGGCGACAGGTCGGCTGGGGTGCAGCCAGGTGGGTACAGTCATTGTTCCTAAATTCGGACTTGCGCCCTAAATTCGGACATTGTGCCGTATTTCACTATTGTCGCCTCCAAATCCACAATGCGTTGACAAAAATTAACTAATATGGGTTTTATGGAAAGATAAGACTACCAAGTTTCCATTTCTGCCAAAAAAATTAATGTGTGAGTGATATTGCTTCCTCCAGAAATTCTTGAAATTTGTATTTTCAGCCCGCCAAAACAGGCGTTTTTAAATGTGTCTTGCAAGAATTTGGGGCTCCGAACAGTGTAAGCCCGGGTTATTCTGATCACAACATATGTGAAACTTGGTACTTTTATCTACAATATGACACCAAGTTTTTGAGTTTTCGTCGCACGGTTTAGTTTTGGGAAGCGTTTTTGCAATGCGCCCTAAATTCGGACATAGGCATTTACATGCAAAAGTGACTACTGTCCGAATTTAGGGCACGCTAAAAGCGATCTTTAAGCAGTTCTGGCGACTAAACTACACCAGATAAGAAAATTTGGACAATAGGGTGAGGTCAAATTTTTCCATGAAGTTTCTACACCCCTCAAAAAATTTTCACTTTTCATTATTTTTCAAAGCTGTCCGAATTTAGGACGCATTGGTTCCTAAATACGGACACGATTCAGACAGTCCTCACCCCTATACCGTTAGCGCGAAAAAATAATTCCGGAGAGTGGTAGGTGCGTCTCGACGTGAGGATTCTAGAATCCCCTGCGATTTTTCATATTTCAAAAATTCTACATGTCAGAGGCGTTTTTCCTCAAAAACCGTCCGAATTTAGGGACACTGACTGTATACCGTCGAGCGAGGCAAAGAGGCGGGAGAGAGCAGCTTGATTGTCTCGGTTCATTCAGCTTCTCCGGTCCTCGCGGCGTCGCGCGGCAGTGTTTTTCGCTCTTATACAAGCCCAGGCTGGACTTTTAAGGAAGGCAGGAAGGTATAGCAATGCGGGGAGAGGGGGCGGCGGTCTTGTCCGCCGCCGCGTGCGGTCTGGAGCCCCCAATCCCATTGATGCTCGACCGCCACGCCCC